CCATAATTATATCTTAATGAAATATTTAGTCATATTTTAACAAGTTTAAAAATAATTATTTTACTGTTCTTTTTGTAATGGAAACTTAGAAGTCTAAGAGTTCAATTCATTATCTCAGAGTTGAGACAGTTTTGAATGTAGAAGGATTTTTTTCCCAGGGTGTTGTTGAATGTATATATAAGTCTGGGTTCCATTGCTACAGGCTCAAAAGGTACCTTCTTGCTAACCCCCTCATCCAAAAATATCTAGGAAGACTATTCCAAGTGATCACACCTAGGAAATGAACCAGATGTTTGAGAGGTAAAGGGAAGCATCTAGAGTTTAGAAATGCACAGCAAATGATATTGCCAAGAATATCTGTGGGAAGGAATAAGTCAGCTATTTTTTAAACTACTCAAGGTGAGGTTCATGAGTCATCATAAGTTACCTTCAAAAGAGAAGAACGTGAAATAATAGGCAAAAGTCCTCTTTCATTTCACAGAATAAGATTGCTTTTAGGAAGAATCTATTTAGGAAAATTTTTTTTGCATAAGATTTTTCCTTTTGGAATTTATATCAGAAATATGACTTCTGGACCGCCTTTAGTTTCAGGATATTGTCAGTGGTAGCACCATGTTTTCCTGTGGCTGGGCCACTTTGAGGGAAGTATAAGAGAAGGTTGAAGTGGAGACTATAGGGGAAGAAAAAAAATTAAGGTTTAGAAACGGCAAGTCTGTGGGAAAATACAAAAGACTGTATAAATTTATTTTTCTCTTCTAAGTTCTTCAAAAGACCTTTAAAATTGTATAAAACAATAATTATAGCACTGTATCTTTGGGTTTATGATATATATACAGCAAGCCCTCAAATAACATTGTTATATTTAATATTGTTCTGTTATAACATTGATGAGATACTGTAGGAACTTCACGCTTATTTGTATCAATTAGCCTATGGTAAAATTGGTTTCATTATATATACATCGTTGTTTTGCTTAAAATTGCAGAACTGATCAATAACCTTAAATGAGGACTTACTGTACATGTAATATGTGTGGGAATGATAACATAAACGAGTGAGGAAATAGAGCTATACTGAAGCAAATTTCTATATTTTACCAGCATTAAGTCAGAATCAAACTGAGGTAGATTCTTATAATTTAAAATTCATATTGTAATTCCTGGAGCAACCAGGAAATAGCTTAAGAAAAGAAAGAGTTTAAAAGGGGAGGAGAATTAAATAGCACACTAGAAAATATCTATGCAACACAAAATAAAGTAGTGAAAGAGAAACAGGACAGAAATAACACATAGAAAACAAATAGCAAAGTAGCATATGTAAATTCAACCAAATCAACTATTACAGTAAAGGCAAAGATTTCCAGTGGTTTCTTAGACACCGTTACCTTCCATAAAAATAGAAAATTGATAAATGAGACTTCATTAAAATTAAAACCTTTGCTATTCAAAAGACATCATTGAGAAAATTAAAAGACAGGTCACAGATTAAAAGAAAATATTTGCACATCTGATAAAGGACTTGTACCCAGAATACACACATGTACACATACATACACACACATAAACAGACACACAGAAATTTGTATCATATATATATATATGTGTGTGTGTGTGTGTGTGTGTGTGTGTGTGTATATATACTTACATATATAAATATATAATATGTATTACTGCGAATCATATATTTGTGATAGCTGATAGAGGACTTGTATATGGACAATATATTTTTAAATTATCTTACAAACTAAATAATAAGAAAACAGCCCAATTAAAAATCGGCAGAAGATTTATGAGTAGTCATTTTACCAAGGAAGGTATTCAAGTTTAATAAGTACTTGAAAAGGTGCTCAACATTACTAGTTAGTGGGAAAATACAGTTAAAACTACAGTAAGAAACCTCTACACACACACTCAAATGGCTCTAACCAAAAGGTCTAACAATACCAAGTGTTGATGAGGATATAGAGAAATTGGAACTCCAATACATTGCTGCCAGGTATGTAAAATGGTACAGCTGCTTGAGAAAATGACTCGGCCTTTTCTTAAAAGGCTAAACGTAGACTTTACAACTCAGCAATAACACTCTCAGGTATTTACCCAAGAGAAATGAAAACATATGCCCACACAAAGACTTGAATGTAAACATTTATAACATTGTTATTTATAATAGCCCCAAACTGGAGACAAACCAAATGTACATTCACTGGTGAATTGATAGACAAAATATGGTATATCCATTCAATTCAGCAATAAAAAAAAGAATGAACTATTGATAAACATTTCAACGTGAATGAACTTTAAGAATATTATACTAAGTGGAAAAAGCCAGGCAGCAAAGTCTACATGGTTCGATTTATATGAAATGTCCAAAAAGGGCAAATCTACAGTGACAGAAAACAACAGGTCAGTGGTTGCCTGAGACTGGGGCTGGGAATGAGGAGTGGCAATAGCCAGGCACAAGGGAACTTTTTAGAATGTTCTAGAACTGGGTCATGGTGATGGTGTGATTATTACACAATGATACAACCATGCTGAACATCATCAAATTTTACATTTACAGTGGATGAATTTTATATGTTATACCTGAACAAAGCTATTAAAAAATACCTTAAGGTTGGATATTCATGGAGGAGGCTGCTTGGTAGAATTATCAAGAAAATTTCTAGGCAACCTACAGAATGGGTAAAAATATTTACAAATCATATATCTGATAAGGGGTTTATATCCAAAATATATAAAGAACTAATACAACTCAATAGCAAAACAAAGCAAACGAGTCAATTAAAAAATGAGCAGAGGAACTGAATAGACATTTTTTTCAAAGAAGACATGCAGATGGCCAACAGGTACATGAAAAGGAGCTCAGCATCACTCATCATCAGTGGAATGTGAATCAAAACCACAGTGAGATACCACCTCACACTGTCGGAATGGCTATTGTCAAAAACACAAGAAAGAACAAGTGTTGAGAATGGAGAAAAGGGAACACTTGTGCCCTGTTGGTGGGAATGTAAATGACACAGCCACGATGGAAAACAGTATGGAGTTTCCTCTAGAAATGAAAAATAGAACTACCTTATGACCTAGCAATCCCACTTCTGGGTATATATCTAAAGGAAATGAAACAAGATTTTGAAGAGATAGTCACACCTCAATGTTCACTACGGCATTATTCACAATAGCCAAGATATGAATATGGATACTCTTTCCCATTGTATAGATATTATTCAGCCATGAGAAAGAAGGAAATCCTGTTGTTTGCAACAACATGAATGGACCTTGAGGGCATTATTGCTAAGTGAAATAAGTCAGAGAAAGACAAATACTGTATGATATCACTTACATGTGGAATCTAAAAATGCTGAATTTATAGAAACAGAATGGAGTGGTGACTGCAGGTAGCTGTGGGTGGGGGGAATGGAAAGATATTGGTCAAAGGGTACAAACTTCCAGTTATAAGATGAATAAGTTCTGAGGATCTAATGTACAGCATGGTAGTTATAGTTAATAATACTGTACTGTATGCTTGAAAGTTGCTAAAAGTGTAGATCTTAAATGTACTCACCACAAGAAAAAATAATTTTGTGACATGATGGAGGTGTTACTTAATGCTACGGTGGTAATCATTTCACAATATGTAAGTATATATAATTGTATCAAGTCAACACGCTGCACAACTGAAACTTACACAATGTGATGTGTCAACTATATCTCAATAAACCTGGGGAAAAAAAGAAAATTTCTAATCCCTCTTTCTCTGTTAGTTACTTTTTAAAATGCTAGGCTTATCTGAGGTTTGTTCTGACATCAACCTTTACACTGGAGTAAGTGGTACAGCTGGCCAAAAGTGTTTCAATACATTGTGTAACTGGATAATTGGTATTAATGCAAATGAAATGTATTTAATTCCAACAGTAAATTTTCTTACAGAATATTTATCAGCTACCCCCAATAATTTATGAATTTCATTGTAGATTTTTAGAAATGACCTTTTCTATTTTGTAGGAGAATATATTTAATGGATAATAGGAGAATTAGGTCTATAGACTATAACTATTATCTTGTGCTTCTCTGAACTGGTTGAATCATTGTGGGCTAGCCGGGAAAAGATGTATTGTTAGAAACAAAAGTAATCGGCCTTTCTCTGTGATTCTTTAATGGGATCTTGCATTAATGTATATTAATGTGTCTAAATTGGTGTCATTTTTATAACCAGCGGAATTTTAGAAACTGAACCTAAAGAATACTATCACTTTCATTGTTTTATAAAAGTAAAATTGAGGAGAATGGTCGATTATAATGTGGCTAGTTTGCATCTATGGTAATTACATTTTGTTTGGCCCATATCATCAAGAATAATGAGGTTCTAGATATATTCCATTAGTATCTTGATGACACTTCCAATGCATGAAATATATACATATATTCTCTGCCTTGTCTTCTCTCACTCCAGTGCACCCAAACATATCATTTGATATCATAATATCATGTCTGATTTTTTAAAAATACACATGGCAGAAATTATGCCCCGATGTATCACTTCCTATGACTCTAAGTTTATTAAAACAGTGTTGCTCATAAGTTTCTGTTACTCAAACCAATTTTGACTCTTTAAAGTAAATACAGCCAGAATTTGTCTCAGATTTTTTTAAATAGTAAAGTTGGCAAATCTTTGCCCTAGGAGGTCATTTAAAAACAATTGGGAGTCTTTCAAGGCCAAATTTGATGATTAAGATGTTTTATAGGTTGGGGAATATAATTTTGAATTGAAAACAGAATATCCCAATTCAGTATTGAGATATAGACCTATGTGATTAACAAACTGGTAGTATCTATAGATATCAAAACATTTTTTCTTTATGGAGATGAGTTTTCTGAAGATGTTGAATGGAGGAAATCTGTTAGTCTAATAGTTAGCTACCCTATAATTCTTGGGAATCATACATATCATATGGTCAAACTGTGTTAAAATTTGGACACCTGATGATTTTTTTTTTCCAGAATTCTTGGAGAGTTGGAAGGGTTAGAGCTCCCTGTCTGTGTGTGACTGAAGATCCTGCTTCTCCTCCCTCCAGTCCATCTTCTATTTGGCATCAAGCGATCTTTTAAAATGGTAAGTTAGTGTCTTCTCACTTTAAAATTTTAATTGGTTCTCCAAAATTAAAAACTTATAACCATTGGCTCTATTAATCTGAGGGTTTTTTTTTCTGTGTATAATGTCCTGTTTCTCACTTTTTAAAAAAATTTATTATGGTCATCAATTAAGGAAATCCAATGAGTTTCAAGTGTACAATTTAACAGTGTCATATATATGTATATATATATAGTATGTTCACCGCCCATAGTTAGATTTCTTTCTGTTACCACATATTTGACCCCTTTTATCCCCTCTACCTCCTCCCTCCTCCCACATCCCCTACCCTCTGGTAATGACTAGTTTCCTGCCCATGTCCATGAGTCTCTGTTTGTCCTGTTTGTCGCTTTTAGGTTTATATCCCACATATAAGTGATATTGTATGGTTTTCAACTTTTTCTGTCTGGCTTATTTTATTTAGCATGATTCTCTCAAGATCCATCCATGTTGTCACAAATCGGAGTATTTCATCTCTTCTTATAGCTGAGTAATATTCCATTGTATGTATATCCCACAGCTTCTTTATCCCGTCATCTACCGGAGGACGCTTTGGTTGTTTCCATGTCCTGGCCACCGTGAATAATGCTGCTGTGAACATCGGTATGCAAATATCTTTTTGGATAAATATTTTTAATTCTTTGGGGTAAACACCTAGTAGAGGAATTGCTGGATCATATGGTAGATCAATTCTTAGTTTTTTGAGGAACCTCCATACTGTCTTCCATAGTTGCTGTACCAATTTACAGCTCTGCCAGCAGTGTATGAGGGTTTCTTTTTCTCTGCATCCTCTCCAGCACTTGTTATTACTTGTCCTATTGATAATAGTCATTCTAACAGATGAGGTGGTATCTCATTGTGGTTTTGATTTGCATTTCCCTAATAGCTAGTGAAGTTGAGCATCCTTACATGTTTGCTGGCCATTTATCTTCTTGGGAGAAGTATCTGTTCAGATCCTCTGCCCATTTTTTAATTGGATTGTTTGTTAATTTTGTTATTACTGAGTTGTATTTGTTCTTTGTATATTTTTGATTAGGCCCTTATCAGAGGCATCGCTTGCAAATATATTTTCCCATTCGGATGGTTGTCTCTTTGCTTTGTTGATGATTTCTTGTGCTGTGCAGAAGCTTTTTAGTTTGATATAGTCCCATCCATTTATTTTTGCTTTTACTTCCCTTGCCTTTGAGGTCAAATTCATGAAATCCTCTTTAAGTCCAAGGTCCTTGAGTTTAGTTCCTATGTTCCTATGTTTTCTTCTATGCATTTTATTGTTCCAGGTCTTATATTCTTGCCCTTAATTTATTTTTGAGTTAATTTTGATGTGTGGTGATAGACAACAGTCTAGTTTCATTCTTTTGCAGGTTGCTATCCAGTTTTCCCAGCATCATTTATTGAAGAGGCTTTCCCTTCTCCATTGTATATTTTTGGCTCCTTTGTCAAAGTTATTTGCCCATATAAACCTGGGTTTACTTCTGGACTCTCAATTCTGTTCCACTGGTCTGTGTGTCTGTTTTGCTGCCAATACCATGCCGTTTTGATGATTGTTGCTTTGTAGTACAATTTAAAGTCGGGCAGAGTGGTGCCTCCAGCTTCGTTCTTTTTTCTCAGGATGGCTTTGGCAATTCGGGGTCTTTGGTGCTAGCATACGAATCTGTTGATTTTTTGTTCTATTTCTTTAAAAAGTGCTAATGGGATTTTGATGGGGATTGCATTAAATCTGTATAATGCTTTAGGTAATAATATCATTTTAACTATGTTGATTCTTCCAATCTAAGAACATGGAATATCTTTCCATTTCTTTGTGTCTTCTTCATTTTTTTAAAATAGGTTCTTGGAGTTTTCATTATTCACATGTTTCATTAGATTAATTCCTAGGCATTTTGTTCTTTTTGTTGCAATTGCAGAAGGAATTTTTTTTCTCATTTCTTTTTCTGACAATTCATTATTAGAGTATAGGAATGCTGTGAATTTTTGAATCTTGATTTTGTATCCTGAAACTTTACTGTATTTGCTTATTATTTCTAGTAGTGTTCTTGTGGAATCTTTAGGGTTTTCTATCTAGAGAATGATGTCATCCACAAATAGTGACAGTTTGACTTCTTCATTTCCTGTTTGGAAGCCTTTTATATCTTTCTCTTGCCTGATTGCACTGCTAGGACTTCCAGTGTTAAAATGGTGATAGTGGACAGCCTTGTCTTGTTCTTGATCTTAGGCCTTTATTATGTTAAGGTACTTTCCTTCTATACTTACTTTATTAAGTGTTTTGATCATGAATGGATGCTATATCTTGTCAAAGGCTTTTTTTGCATCTACTGATAAGATCATATGATTCTTATTCTTTAATTTGTTTATGTGGTGTATCACATTAATCGATTTGCACATATTGACCCATCCCTGTGCCCCTGGCATGAAACCCACATGATCATGGTGTATAATCTTTTTAACATGTTGCTGTATTCAGTTCACTAATATTTTATTTAGGATTTTTGCATCTGTGTTCATGAGAGATATTGGTCTGCAGTTTTCTTTTTTTGTGTTATCTTTACCAGGTTTTGGTGTCAGGGTAATATTGTCCTCATAAAATGAGTTAGGAAGTCTTACCTCTTCTTTGAGTTTTTGGAAGAGTTTGATGAGAATAGATATTTTAAAATATGGAACACTTCATGAATTTATGTGTTATCCTTGCGCAGGGGCCATGCTAACCTCTGCATCATTCCATTTTTAGTATATGTGCTGTCGAAGTGAGCTTATTAACCTGAGTTTTAAGTAAAGTCATTCTTACACCTGTTCCCAGTCTAACATTTCTCAAATGTCTCTTCAAATCACCATCAGCAAGGGGAGAAGAGTGGCTTCACGTGGACTCAGCACCACCACTCTGCCTTCCTTCCTTCTAGCTGTGACCCTCTCTTGTCAGCCCATCTCTGCTGAGCTCTCCCTCTCTGGGGTTCTCAGAGGGTCTCCCAGGGCCTGGCTGTGGTGTCCAGGAGGTCTGCCTTCTCTTCATGTTTCTGAGGGAGTTTTTCCTATAATGCTCATTTATTTTCGCATCTCTGGCCCTCAATGTCTTTCTCCAGCTGGAGGTGCCTGTCTCTCTGAGAGGAAGGGTCCACTACAGGGAGACCAGGCCCTTAGTGATACATTTTTGCCTCTTTCCCATAAGGCCCCTCCTCCATGGCACACAGATACTCCGAGAGGGGTACGGATGGGGTATGAATTTGAACCTTATATTGTATGCTACCTCCTCCACCTTTTTGTCACTCGGGCTCGGTCACTCACTCTAGCCCACTTCACCACGTTTTTTCTTGACTTGGTGACTTTCTGTCAGCAGCTATTGTTCCTTTGTTATCTGTCAGCTCCAGTCCTGACCCACCTCACCCCCAGAGTCCACCAGTCATCTTCATGGGTGTTGATCCCCGAATGAGAACAGGGTTTCTGTTCTTTCTATGGGGTTCCTGAGCCCCTTTATAAAGCAGAGTCTGTGATTGGGTAATTGTTGAACTGTCCCTAAACACTCTGTAGCAGTTAAGGAGACATTGACCTGATGCACAGTGGACCCCAAGTATGGGGGGTGGATATTAACTCTGCTCAGCCACGATATTGTTGTCATCTCTCATATAAGGACATATATGTTCTGACTCCTGTCTGCCTCTCCACGCTCCTCCCTTTCCATCCACTAGCCAACATGAACTACATGCAAGTCTCCAATAGGTCATATACTCTGCTCTTCATTCCCCACCGCCCCCCAATAAAAATGTTTGAGCATTACTGTGTTTTGAGTTCACGAGACAGAATGTAACAGATGAAAGTTCTGGAGGTAGAATGAAGGAGCTTACATTCTGGGGGTGGTGGGAGGAGGAGGCATAGAAATAACAACCACATAAACAAGAAAATATCATATGGGAATGGATACCATATAGAAAATAAAGCACATTGATATGCTAGAGAGTGTCTGCAGGGCTCTTTACTCTGGAGACTAGGGAAGTCCTCTCTGAGGAAGTGACATTTAATTTGAAATCTGAAAGACATCAGCTCACCTTGCGCACCTCTTGGACCAGAACAAGGAGTTTATATTTTATTCTAAAAATAATGGAAGCCATTGGAGAATATTAAGCACGGTAATGACGTGGTATGATTTGCTGCTGGATGATGGATTTTAGGAGGTATGAGTAGGAACAGGAAGACAAGTACATTAGTTTGCCAGGGCATAACAAAATACTACAGAATAGGTGGCTTAAACAACAGAAATTTATTTCTTGCAGTTCTGGAGGCTGGAAGTTTGAGACCAAGGCTTAGGCAGGGCTGGTTTCTCCTGAGGCCTCTCTCCTTGGCTTGCCAACACCACCTTCTTGCTGTGTCTTCACATGGTCTGTCTTCCTTGCCTGTGCATCCCTGGTGTATCTTTGTGTATCCTAAACTCCTCTTATAAGGACACCAGTCAAATTGGATTAGGGCTCACTCTAAAGGCCTTGTTTTAACTTAATCACTTAATTAAGGCCCTATCTCCAAATACAGTCATATTTTGATGTAGTAGGGGTTATGGCTTCCACATAGGAATTTGATGAGGGGAGCGGAGGACACAATTTAGCCCATCACAACAAGTTAGAAGGCTGCTGCACAGTCCAGAGGAGAGAAGACAGAACTTCTACTAGAAGGTCATGTGGAGATAGAAATAAATGGATTTGGAATATATTTTGGAGTAAAGTCAACAGAACTTAATGTTTAGATGTGGGCAGTGAGGGAAAGAAATGGGATCAAGGGTGGCTCCTAGGCTCCAGCTGGAGCCACTGAGTGGACAGTGGTGCCATGTGTTGAGAAGTGGGTTGCTAGACCTCTGAGCAGAGTGTTTTCCCGTGTCAGGAATTCTCATTAAAACGCACCAACAATCTACTCACTCCAAAACCCGCTCGGATTCCCCTCTCTTCCTTCTCATTCTGGCTAACTCCTACTCTTTCTTTAAAACCTCAGCTCGAGAGTTAGCTCCTCAAGGAAGTCTTATCACCCCTTCTACCCAGAGACATACTGGGTGAGAGTATGTACCCTTCCTTACCTTTCCTAGCACTAAGCGTTCATGCCTGTACACTCACAACAATGTCTTGTCCTGGCTGGTGTGCTTGTCTGTCTCCTTCATTCGATCACGAGGACAGCAAGCACTCTGGCTTATTCATCACTGTATTTCAAGGCCTAGAGCAGTGTCTGCACATGGTCCACAACAAATATTTATTTAAATGAAATGAAACGAAATGACTTGCGAGGTTTTAGCGGTCACCATTATGCCTCCCAGCTACCATTTGGCAATGGTAAGTTTTGATATTTAGAAAAGTTTTCCATTTCTGTCTTTTCAGCACTGACCATGGCAGTGCCTTTTAAGGTGATGGCGATGTCCATTTAAATGAGTGTATATTTAAGATGGCAACATCTGGGAGTTTGGAATGCGTAGAACAAACGGTGCTCATTGCCACATCTCAGATCCCAGATGCTTTGAAGGCTTCTCTCGTCCTTGCGTTAGCTGTATTGTTTTAGCAAAATTTTCTATCACAATTTTCTCAACCGTATTGGAATTTTGCAAGTACGTTACTTTCATTTGTTTTCACAAGTACCTTCAGTA